AAGACATAGAAACCTTCTCCAGGCTCAGACTTTGCAGTTCATATACCTGGCAGTCACTGAAATCCAACAGACACATGTTCAGCTCCTCCAAATACCAAGCTCAATTACTGCCCTTCACCTTTTAATTCATAAAATACCTGACATGGAACGGGGGGAGAGAGAGAACACCAAGCATTGAGACCACAAAACCAAATCAGTTGTCCCATTTCATGCCCTCCTGAACAAGCAGGGCTGGCTGATCTCTTCCCCTCTTCATTATTCCTCACACTCTAAAAATGGAACTGTAGAGAAGAAAATAAGAACAGCCTCTCCTAATAAGTTCATTTTCTCCTCACCTCAGATACATCTCCATCCCCATACATCCTTGAACTTATTCTCTCACATCTGTTTTACAGAAGAGAAACTTCTATACTAAAAATCTATGTGTCCATTGTGAGATGGCACAGGAAAGTCTCCATTCCTTAGCTGGGAACTCCACCATTAGTCCACTCTCACATTATACAGTGGAACAGGCTCTCCTATCCCAGGATGGCTATCATGGTGCCCAAATTCACCAGCAGGCCTTAATGCCCTGGCCAGCCTTGGCAGGGCCTCTGCACAGGTACCCACCAGCCAGGGCTCCATTTCAGCTCAGCCCCAGGCCTTGGTGAGCTTTGCTGGAGCCCTGTCCCTGCTGATCCTGACACACTGGCTGGGCCTCCTGCTCTCAACCAGATCTGTCTCCTGGAATTTGTCTGATGATACTGGACTGTCAATGGGATCCAATCCCACCACCAATCCTGTGCTGCTCACCCTGCTGTGAAGTGACCAGTCAGTACTGTGGTCACCTCAGCTCCTGGCTCTCTCTCCCTCATGGAGAAGCCTTGCTCTGGCTGAGAGGCTGTGGAGGAAGAAAAAAATCCAGGCCCAAGATATCAGAAACACTGGTGGAAACATATCTTTTATCTCCTCAGAGCACAGCTCCTACTTTAATCATTAGATAGAGAGAAGGATGTTATCAGCACCAAAATAAAATGTTCTGTCTTCATTTGTTACACTGCAGTTGGAGGAAAGCAGACCAGACTTGCAACAGGGGCTCAAAACTGGCTACTTCAAGTATAAATCCAAGGGTACATAGTTAATTTTTCCATGTACAGTTTTTCACTCAGTCACTCCTTTCTGATCATTTCTGCTAAAGGAAAGTAAGGCTTGTCAGACAGCTTCACAGAAAGCTGCTGTCTGATATCTGGATAAAGAACTGAGAGCCTTCAGCAGAACCACAAGAGATTCGCTGGCTCACAGGGATGATGTTTCGAGTTTACTTCGGGGAGGACTCACTGACGTTAACACCGAGAGGGAAAATCGCCTGGATAATTTACTGAATCCGGACTGAAAAGGCAGGTGTAGAATCTATGGGTTTGAGGCCCGGCGCGGGCAGCCCAGCTGCCACCTGGTGACTGAAAAGTCACACTGCGTTTTTCCCGCACCATTTACTCCTTCATTACGTTTTCCAGATATGTGTGGAATAAATCTGACAACGTATCCCAGGAAGGAGTAAGGAGCTCTGATTCTCCAGAGTCGAAATATACAATATAGATCAATGTTGGTAGAAAGGAAAAAGAGATAAATTTAATTCACTCAAGTCTTAGATTGCAGAGTCATTGGAGGGGAAACGGCTGGGTTGGGGCAGGAGTCATCTAAATTTGGGTACTATCCTGTACATACTGACCTGACAAAACAAAACCAACTTCAATATCCAAATGAAAAAACATCCTTTAACATCTTGGGGGAAATATTTTATTTGACACTTGAGTCAAATATCCAAATGCAATTCTAGAAAAGAGGCAGCAAAGGAGTTGAGAGGTACCACTTTTCCAGCAGATTTTTGCATCTTTTGTGGCCTCTTGGGTTGATCTCAACCACCATTTGAAAAGATCTAAAGTGGTATTTGAGGCTGTGAAGAACCTGCAATGAAACTGGCACAAGAACTTCAGAGCTCCCTATTATCAAGTCTTCAGTAGTTTCTGTTGCTTATGCATGGATCATGTCACAGCCTTTTTTCTCACTGACTTGATGCTGAACTGTTGGTTTGCTCACCCAATTTCTGTGGCACCTGGTGAATTTTCTACATTGGATTGTGTAGGGAAGGCATGATAAGAACCTAAGAAAAACTGGAGAGCAGTGGCCACGACATCTCGTGAGAACAGGCTGTACCATTTTGATGGAACTTGTTTGAAAAAGTCTCTGTACCTGACCTACAAACAAAAGACTGAATGGCCACAAGGCTGTCTACAAAATGTCCCAGTACAGTTCTAACAGCTATTTTTCCCATGAAAATCCACATGGGACTGAAAGCTGAAGGAAAAAGTTCACTGGTCAGATCATACAGCACATGCCACAAGCAAAATTTTTATTTCCACTTGCTAAATGAACTGATGAGCTATCAGAGTTTCTTCACATCTGTGCCTCCACTGACTTCCCACAGGAAGGCAGCAGCAAAATGACCAGGTTCCAAAGACCTATTACCTTTCTCTTTGCCTGTTCCCTGCAGTCCTAACTTGCACCACTGTTCTGAACTGCCTCGTGAAACTGTGTGCTTGAAACAGGTGACTTCAGTAAAATGATTTGTAGGTTGAATGCTACAAAATAAATTTCTTTGGCAGATATCACCAAAGAGTGCTGTCAGTCAACAGTGGTTTTATCAAATTAAGATACAGAAGACAACCATAGAAAATAGAAAGTTGTTCTTCAAACTCCATTTTCACATCTGTTTTGCTGATCTCCAACAATATGAAAGACTGTATTAAGGATATTATACAGGTGACTAAGTTACACATCAGATTTCTGTCAACTGTTGCCCCACCAAATGTTGGTCATGGTTGTTAATTAATCCAATATTCTCAGAATCCCATTTTAAATGGAAATATAGTAAGCTGTAACAAAAGGTTTAGGAGCATCATTTTTAGAAGGTGATCGATATCAACAAACAGAAGGCTGCTTGAAAAATGTTTATGCTTAAAATATAATAACTACTGCACATATCCTTTTCAACTTTTATGCTCTAGTCAATGTATTATAATTGAGTTCTACTGAATTACTTTTTAGTGGATAAATACTGTACACGCTGCAGTGTGATGAGACATCATGTAATGTATACTAATTAAGCCATTATATCTGTGGAGGAGATCGTATCTGAAATATCAAATTAGCAGGAATTAAACATCTCAAAGGATTAATGAAATGTTATGGAGCCATTCACTTCCAGGTCAACAGGTTCAATTTCACCTCAGTTTAATAGTTATAATGAATTTATGTGCTGGAGATAACAATTCTCTGCATCCGTCCATAAATCAGGGCAAGAGCCCCCGGCTCGTACCTGGAGCAGCAGCCTTGAACCAGCACAGCCAGAACAGCAGAGCCAGGAATATCTGCTAGGCCTGTGTTTGGCACATAGCCCCAGGCTCCAGGAGATCAAACAGCACATTTACTGGATGGCTGCAATATGTGTAGGCAGCAGCAGCGACACCAGAGACACTCAGTCAGTTCTCTTTACAGACCTGCCAACAATTGTCAACCCCAGCAATAAAGTTATCACAGGCACAACATTCCAGCCCATCTCATCCTCAGCTCAGTTCAGAGCCCATCCTGCTTATCCTGATCCCTCTCTCAGCAGCCCTTGCTGCTTCAGCCTGCAGCACAAGGAAAAGGTGGGGCTGGGGCACGGGGAAGGAAGAACAGCAGCCAACTTTTATTGGCTTTCTCTTTAGCTGACGAGACCACAAATACCCAGCAAACCCTGGTTTTGCAGTGGAACCACGAATTCGAGACTAAACTTTTTTTAGAGATTAAATAACCACTAAACTTTTTTTAGAGATCAAATAACCACCACATCAACAGATTGAGGCATCAGCTCCTTAATGATGATGGGCAGCGAGCAAACCCCAAGGGGTTTGTACCTAAGAGAAAGGAGTTAAGAAATAACCACATCAAGAACAAAAAACTGTATCTTAGTAGCAAAGAGGTACATCCAACCTCTTCAGATACACATAGAAAGGAGACAAATTGTAGCAATCACTGAAAGCCCATCAGTTCAATTTGCTGTGAGGACTCTGTTAGACACACACAGACATGACAGTGTAAGTAAGCTAAGGAACAATTTTTTCACAAGATTTTTTCACTGACTTCTGCTGAGCTTTGCTAGAACTAAAATCTCACTGAGCCTCGGTATCTCCAACTGTTACAAGGATCACCTACAGAGGTATTATGGAAAAAATAGTACTTATGAGGTGCTTCAAGTGATCTAGAAATACAAGTTTTTAATATCAGTCCTTCCTGGAGGTGTTTAACCCACACTCTGCAATATGGATAGAGAACCTAAAGGAAACATGCTGTACTGTGACAGGAAAGTCTTATGCTGCCGCCTCTACCACCAACCACACTTTGCGATCATCCTGCTCCCCCGTCAAATACTCCCAAGACCTGGAAAACAACAAGGACTTTCAGCAGAGAGAATGTGGATGGCTGTAAAACAGCTTACACAAGCTAATACATTGAAAATAGTTTTTCAACCAGGGGTACTGAGATACAAACACTAGAGTGAAAGAAAAGCTGTGGCAGTCTACATAATATATGAAAAAAGCATCAAGCTTGCAGGATTGTTCTCTCTTAGTGACTACAAACAGAATTCAAGAACAAAGAGCATTCTAACAGCTGTTTGCTTTGCTTTCCTGGCACTCAGGTATTTCAAGTTTAAAAAAAAAAAATAAAGAAAAAACCAAAACAAGAAAAAAAAGAGTAAACATGACAAACCAAAAGTTATAAGGAGCCATTTTTATTGCAGGACTGCCTTGAATGCACATTCCTGGCTTACAAAATCTCTCAACACTCCACTACAGCAATCAAGAGGTTGAGTGGAATTTGTACCATATATTTACTCTTTCAGCAGGAAGCTGGAAAGTACAGCACCAAGTACAGGAGCTGGAAATGCAGATATGTTTTTACTGGTCTTTCTTACCTTTTTTCACTTTAGCCACTATTCTCCCTCTTCTATGACATGTGACTTTCAAGTACTGAGTTCCTTCAACAACACTTCTAGATCTACTTTTCCAGATCTACTTTTCCAGTGACATCCTAAGTTACACAGTCATAATTAAAAGTTTCTACAGATCATCAGAAGCTTGCAACCAGAGCATTTTCCTAAGGGATATATTTTGAAAGTATAATTTTTATGATTAATAATCTGATAATAGATTATAGCTTATATATTAACATATTACATAATTACATATGCACACAGAAAATGATCACTTAAAAGTGCAATTTTTACTATGACTTCCCAAACCTTTGGAAAGCAATATTTTTGTAATTTCTCTGTTCAAGAAAGAAAATACTTTAGCAATATAGGCAGATGCAATAAAATATTCAGTAAGAATTTTAAACAAAGTGTCCTCCAAGAGGCAGATGAATTTAAGGCATTTTCTGTGTTGGACATGAGAGAAGCAGGAAGAATAAACCCTTCAAAAGCACTTGAGAAAAGTATTAAGGAAAATTCAGAATGTAAAGCAAAACCTGAAATTTTCAACTTCACATACTGGATTTAAAATTATACATTTAAAACCATTTAAACTGTATTTAAAACTAGAGGGTTCTAGTTTAGAGGCCTAACTCGTGTGTGTGTTTGTAAAGAGAGAAATATGTTTTATTAGACCACTATAATTCGAAAAAGTACATAATCCTTTTGTCAGTCTAGTATAAGCAATTACCCTTCCCTTGGAACCTTTTCTCTCACATCACCATGATCATGGTTACAAAACTATCTCCTTCCAAAGTTTTTAAAATCTCTCTGTATCTCGAGCATTCCACTGCTGTACTTCAGTCACTTAAAGCAGAGAGGAGAAATATTAAATTTGTGTAGTTTCATACTTCATCTTGAAAGCTGTAAAACTCTAGTATGTTCTCCTCATTCCTAACAGACACAAGCATCCAGTTGCATGTCAAGCAGGAACCCTGGATAACAAAACAAGCTCTGACACTGGAGCGAGAGAGAGGCAGCAGCGTTGGGGTTTTGGTGCTGCAGGATAAACTCTGAGGTCCACAGGGAAATCTAAATGGTGTATTTTTCTGTTTACCTTCAGGTGACAATGTCCAAATGCTGCAACACATCACTGAACGTCTGCTACAAAAAGTCCTGTCATGAAGAATAAGAACGGATGGATGAATAATGGTCAGGCTGGACCTTCTGCCTCCTGCCAGCAGTGCTGAGCAGAAATTTAAAACCAGCTTGTAAGCAATATGCAGCCAATCTAAACCTATACAATCAGCCCTAGAATCATCAACATTACAGAGACATCAACTTACCTCTGAATAGAGATAAGGGAGTTGCTGGTGTTTCTCAGAGGACCCAGCTTCATGGACTGAAGTCAGAGAAAGAATTACTTCTTTCACAATCTGTTCTCCCAACTATATTCACTGATAGCACTGAACGGGGGGGGGGGGTGTTCCTTTTTAAAAGCTTGCATTCTGATTTAATTGAAGAAATATGATAAAGTCTTCCCTTCTCCAAACAGAAAAAGAATGTTTTGAAATAGGATATACCGGAAAATATTTTTAATGTTTCCTTCATGTAAGACCCTATCGTATATGAATGAGATTTTTGTTTTGATCCAAGTAAGTAACAAGTTTCTATCCAAGTAAATAACAGATCTTAAGAACTGGAGGAACAGGATTTCCCTTTTTTATTTTCATTCACTGCCACCTCTTTCTACACCTTCCTGCAAGATGGACATTTTAGTATTTTCACCAACTGCAAAGCAAGGACAGCTCAAACAACTCAAACAGAGATGGCCACGCTGGGTCACAGTGGTCCATCCTGAAAGGCAGAGCTTTACCTACACTGCATATTGGCCTCCAGGGCATAAAAAGTGTGGCTTCAGGGGGACTGGGGAGGGAGGGATGCTCAGCATTAGATGCCAGCTTCCTGAAGAGAAGTCACCTTTTACAAGATACAGCTGCAAAAGCTGTGCAGTCAAAAAATCTTATATTTGTCTTACTACATAATATATTCCACATCAGCAATTGTTTCTATCCAAATGGATATATCCAAATTAAATGTTGTTGCAGCAAATCTGCTCTTTGATGAGGCACCCTGATCATTTAAAAAAAGACAACAGCCATCCTTGCAAAGCATCCTAGTGCTACAAACTGTGGTTCTTTCAGTGCTTCTTTCAAAAGAAAGACTCCCCTGAAAATTATTTAACTCCTTTTTTTTAAACTGAACTTCATGCAATCCTTTCAGGTTACTTTGAAGAAAAATGTTGAATCAATCCACATTCTAAAATGCCTCAGAAAGAAGAAAAATCCCAGCAGTAAATCCACCTAATTAAGTGGGGGTGTATCTAGCCCACAGCTATTATCACTTCTCAGCTTAATATTTTTAAACAGCCTGTATGTGGAGCAGGCAGTGAGCTCTCCTCATTATTTCTCAAATGAAGCTGAGTAGATCTAACCCAAATTATGGCAAGATAAACCAGACAACTTAAGTGATGAAAATTGTACTTTTTCCTCTGCTTTAGGGACGCTTCTGGCTCATCTGTCCTCTGATCAAGGTGAGCCTGATAAAGCTGAAAATTACACTGTGTCACTGGATTGTATGAGATTATCTTTCCCCTGAGAAGTGATTTATTTTAGTAACTCTTAATGAATAAGAAACTTTCTGCTCCAACACACTGCTCTTCTTGTGTGGGCATGGTTCCTTATTGCTTTGAGTGAGGGAATCACATAAAAAGAATGGAGAATCTGAGTGGCTACATCTCCTTTATGGTTCAAAGACAAATTTATGTTATGAGACAGACCTTCAGGGACCACCAGTTCCATAAAAAGGGAAAATCATTGTCATTAGTTTGTAGGTTTAACTGCAAAAGTTACAGGCATATCTTCCACTTTTTGAGTGTGAGCAAAGTCTGGTTTTGGCTTTGAGGGATCTTGCTTTGTAGAATTTGGGGCTTCTCGATCTTTAGACGATTCCAGGAGATGTTGCATGTTAAGTTTGAAAATAAGGCGAGGATCTGGTCCAGAAAGAGATGGGCAATTGCAGCTCTCTCTTATTTTAAGAGCCTGTGAACACATAGGAAAACAAATCAAGCTCATTTAAACAGGAAAAACAAAAAAGGTTTCAGTCAGTGACTTGGCTTTCCACAAGGTTTGCATTTGCACATAAAGCTTAGTGAGTGTAATGCTGAGCCTGGGTTGTTACTGAACAACTTTCCAACAGAAACCAAGAACTCCTGTGAAGAAATGCAGCAATGTGGTAAAACAACGGGGAAAATGAAGAATGAAATGATCTTCTCACAGTGTCTCCAAGGATGGATACTGTAAAAGGCACAGCATAAATAGATAGGAAGCTCTCTAACTGTTCTGTGTGATACTTGTGCACATCAGTACCTTTTACCTTTTAATTTACATTCACAGGTAAATTGAACTTTGTGTAACCCTTTCAGGTTACTTTGAAGAAAAATGTTGAATCAATCCATATTCTAAAATGCTTCCGAAAGAAGAAGAATCCCAGCAGGAAATCCACCTAATTAAGTGAGGGTGTATCTAGCCCATAGCTATTATTGCTTCTCAGCTTAAAATTTTTATATTTATATTTCCATGTAAATGAAAATGACTGCATCAGGAAAAAAAGGTCTCTGAATTATTTACTTCATCAGGTATGTTCTATTATTGATGTAACTATATAGAGCTGCCTGACTCAAAAAAGGAGGGAAAAATCTCCAATAACATAATGGACATTTAAGTGTTTGGCACAGAGACAGTTCATCAGTATAGTTAAGGTTCAGTTACACAAGTGATCTCATCTCCAAGAACTATTTGGATACACAGCTCCCAAGTATTAGGAGAAAATAATGTCTCTGAAATGTAAAAATTTACCTGAATAAAAAGATTAGTACTAAGAGACCAAACTTGAAGCTCACTGAGTAAGTGCCATTGCTTCCATTTTACAGATAAGAAAGCAGAGGCAGGAGGGAGGCAAAGAATTCCCCAGAGAGACAAAATTCATTAGCACAGGCACATTCCCCCCAGATCATCCTGTGCTGTGGGGAATGAAGGTGTGACAATGGATGAATCTCATGTCTCAAAGGCACTGTGGAGAAACTGGTATCAACTTGTAAAAAGTCAGTTGGTTTAAAGGATGCTGAAGTTGGTGTTCATTGTAATAAACCTGAACATGCATTATTAGACCACACAAAAAGGCAGCTCCTGGTGTGTGTGGCACATAACTAACTGATGCAGGGGTTGTACACAGACCTTTAGCTTGGCCTCAATTAACAGCATAAAACCATGGGCACATTTACATCCTGCTTTGGTTTTAATCCTTTCATGGGAAAACAAATTCAAATGTACATTTTATTCCACTTCACTTTATAATCATGGATTCTTGAAAAGTAATGGCCAGACCTGGCCTGAGTTGTATCCAGGTGCATCCTGGCCAGGACTCAGGACTGCCAGCAGAAAGTGAGGGTCAAGTCATTCCTTCCAGATGGATTAAAGAGGAGGAAGAAAGTAACAGTTTTCCCAGCACTCCTAGAATTGTACTTTGAACAAAGCAGAAATTTTTAATCTGTTTTATAATCACTAGCTTTGGCTGAGGTAACAAATCAAATATTCCAGCACAGGTATGCATAAGCATTTGCCCATCATTTTGAAACACTCTGCTATTCTTCCACAGGAGACACTGGAAACATTTTACTACAGCAGATTTTAAAATAGAAGAGCAGAGCTTCTTAACTCATTTCTTTGTATAAAGAGGTTTCCAAACCTATTTCTCTCTAACTTTACTACAGTAAATTGATAGAGTTTGCTGTAAATGCCTAGAACCAAATATATTTTCAATTTAACAACCGGTTTTGGAAAAAGACACATTCCAGGAATGTAGCAAGAGTCTCTCCAGCTATTTCTTGGTGAAATGTAACATTTAAATTACTGGATACACAAGTCTGGATTAGGCATGAAATACTGCTCTTGTCTAACTTTTAAAAAATATGAATAAAGCTTTCACAGCTTGTTTTTCTACAGCATGATCTTCTACATAGTCACCAAATGTAACTATACTGTGAACTTTTCTGCTTCAGTGACCAATTAATTTCTAAACTGACATTTATGACAAACCAAGAGTTTTCTCTTGTTCTCTCCTAGAACATAAGCTGCTGCAAGACTGCATTAATGTCAAGCAGTGTTATTCAAGGCAAATGGAAATACAAAGATTTAGGCTGCATCCTGGAAAGGACAAACTAATCCTCTTTTAAGCTAATTTGGCAATTTTGTATCTGTGTTTTCTTTGCTATACAGTGCCTGGCCTATTTCCATGGCTTCACTTAACTAAAATAGTAAAGTCACGACAGCAAAGGTGAAAAACAGCACTTCAGAGTTAACATCTTTACATCATTAAAATGCCAATTACAGGCTGAGGAGCTTAAAACATCATTTCTCCCGAAAGATAAACCAGCCCAACGTGGTCAGGTGTCTGCATTTCCAAAATCTCTGGTAACTTCAAATCTGGTAATTTAATATTGCTCAAGTAGATTGGGTTTTGACAGTCTGGGTAACCAGGTACAGGTACAAGCATTCCCAGTGAAGCACATGCATATTGATATTATAATAAGAACATGTTTTATTGACTGTTTTTACTGAAGAGCTTTCTCAGTAAATGAGGCAGGATGAGCCAAGGTTAACTAGCTGGAGTGAGTATGAAGATTCACCTGGGAAGCGAGAGGATTTTAATGCTGTTCTTTCCAGGTTAACCTCAAGAGCACAGCACTGCTGCTCACAATAGAGCCCCCCTGCCTGCTCACTGGTTCAGGAGATCCCAGATCAAATATCCAAACTATTGCTTGGAAAGTATCACAGGTGAAGCTGTTTTTCTTATCAATACAATCACAGTCACCTCCTGCAACGTGCTGGGAGCAGGGAAAGCATGAGAATTAGGAGTATCTGCCTCATCCTCACTTTCATGTAAAGCCTACCAGGAGACAAATACAGAAATAAGGAATTTTTAGTTCCCAGCATTAATCCTTCACACTGTCACAGACACCAGGCTACCTGCTGCATCTTGAGCCCTTACAGTATTAATGAAAGAGCAGTAAAAGATGATTAAAAGAATTGATAGACTTTACTTGAGAGAGAAGAAAAGCAGCTTATATATAATGCCAATACTTCCAATCTTTCACTGCCGTTGGCACAGGAAGGAAAAATTGTGACAAAATATTTAACAATTTTATGGGGAGGATAGAAATGCAGGTCAGTGGTTTTTATTCTTGTTTTCACATTGATAGGGCTTAATTAACATATTCTACTACTAGAACTATCTGAAGTAATCTCCATATCACAAGCAAAGGGCAAATATACCAACCCATTTTTGAAAAGAAGGCAAAATAAATGTATCTTCCATATCCACAAGGCAGCAGATTGAGCAATAATCAAAAGCTACACAAAAAAATAATACAAGTAACAAACAGCCAGGGTGGATTTGACAAGAACAGGTGTTGCCAGAGTAAATTAATTACATTTTCTTTGACAAGTTAATTGACCTAGCAAACAAGACAAGCAGTGGAGTTGATGTATCCCAACTTAATATTAGTCTCTAAATGATCTCACTGTGGCATTTCTACAAGGAAGAGTGGGAAATGTGAGTTACAGGGAATCAAAAATGGAATCTGAGCCAACAACACGATGCCAAAAAAAAATCAAATGTCATGTCAAGATGAATTTTTGTGTCACAGGAAAGGCTCAGTAGATAACCTTCTGCTTTATTCAGTGTGCTGTTATCCAGGAACTTCTCTCTGGCACTACAATTCCGTGATTTTTCTCTCCAGAGCAACGCTAAGCACCCTCCCCACTATTACAAAATCATTTCAAGATTTCTCTTTCTGAAAATCAAATGCACAGGCCTTCATCGAGTATCTCACCACCTTCCAGGCAGGAATTCTAAGAGATTTCAGTTTCCTATTTAAGAGTATACTCTCTTTTCCTAGTTTAAAATCCAAAGCTCTCCCTGAGGGGGAACTGCTTTAAAAACATGGTAAATCTTTTTCATTTGCTTTATTTCATTTCCAGGACTCTGTAACTGCTCATAGTTCACTATTTACCGATGCCTCAGCTTGGCTGTAGGTTCCAACTTGCTCACAAAACCAGATGCAAGTTCTTCAATGGTCATTTGATTTGTTCCCTGTCTTCTAATTACATATAAAGAGAATCCCTGTGATGCTCCTGCTTTAATTTACATTTCCTGGGACTGTTCAGTCAGCTCACTGAGATGTGACATTTCCTTACCTGAAGAAAAACTCTCACTTTATATGGTCACATTCTATTGTGAACTTGCTTAAAGTCTGTAGAGAAAGATCAGTGTGGCCTGAGAGGTCCAAAAACTTGTCCCAATTTGTCCCAGCTGCAGTAGCTGGTCTAATAATAGATATTGTATTGTCCCCAAAACCAGTTCAGCTTCAAAACCAGCAGCACATGAACACAACAGTGCTCACCATGGATCTGATACTGAGTCTTAAGAAGTACCAGTTTCTTCACAGATGATACTAGAGATTAAAAGGCCTTTTTTGAAATCTGGCTTCTCTCCCTGGGCTCTGAATATCTAATGGCTATTAACATATGGTAAAAATACTGTTCTAAAAGCTTTAAGTATGTGAACAACTGAACAAAAAGATGCTGATATTGAACAACAATAATGCCCTGGGATTCCCTTTAAATGCCTGAGGTGCAGCCTCCAGGCAGCAGCTCCCAGATGAAGGGAGTCAATGCCTCAGACAAGAAGCCTCCAACAACACCTCTACACACTTCCTTTCATCTTTATTCCACATTTGTAGTGCCAACTTCACTTACTTAGTCAACTTGTTAAAGATAGGAAGTCTTTTTTCTCATCCTACTCCAAAGAATATTTAAGGTAAAAGGCAAACAAAAACACATCCTCCTCAATTATCTTTTGGAAGAAAACCTCCCAGCCTCCCTTGCTCTTGGAAGAGAAAGTACCTATAAAAAGATGAAGTTGCTCCACCTGCTAAACTATTAGAGATAAGGCAGAAATAACAGTTGTACACAGTTGCTCAGTTATTTAACAGGCCAGGTGTAGAACAAAAGAACTAATTTATTTTGTTACCTCTTTATAAGCCAGTCAGCAACTATATGAAAATAAGCAATCCTGAACCCCTAATGTTCAATCTACCTAAAACTAAGGCTCCACAAGTATCATTTTCCATTCAGCTGCTCTAATGTGTTAAAAATCCATCTAAAAAAGTCATAACCTGCTTTTACAAAGTACAGACTTTGTGTATATTAATTTTAAATATTCAGTCTAGCCAGTCTCCAGCCTCCCACCCCTAACGCTGACTTTGATTTGCCACCATTTAGAATATTTACTGTATTCATCCTCATCAAAGGATTTGTGAAAACCTTTCTTTCTCCTTTGAAGTCAGCAAACACCTCAACATTTTAGTGCTCTCTCTGCCAATACATCTTCAACTGTCTTTACAGTTTGGAACTGAGAAAGACTTTAGGTGATTGAGAATTTAGAAAAGAAAAAAAAAAAGAAGAAATCACTAGTTGGTATAAAAAAGAGTATTTCCAAACACAGTTTAGCTGCTGGAAAACAGTGTCATTTTGAGGTGCTTTTGAGGTGCTTTAACATTCTATTTCAAAACGAAAAAAACTAGGTAAAAAAATCCATTTTATTTTTCTGTAGTTAAAACACCCACATTTAAAGAAATAGTAAGCAAACTAAGATTACTAAACCTCAAAAGTTCTCTGTCCTTAAGCTATCAGCAAGTAGCACATCAAACTAAGATAATCCCCCAGTAGCTTTCCACTTGGCATTCCTCTGAGAGGAAATCCAAGAGAAAGCACAGGGAAAAGGCTGCAGATTGATGGGCAATTGTGTGAATTAGTTCAAGTTTCTTGGAGTGAAGTAAAATTTGCTCCCTAATGTGCTCTCAGGAAATCTTCTCCTGGGGATCTGACATCTTTCTGAAGCTCAGCTACTCGAGGTGTGTTCAGTGTCACAGCAGTGAGGGGGCAGGATGGAGCACTCTCTCTTTGACAGCAAAGCTACAAAAGCAAGAGAACTCACCACAGTTTAGGGATCCAACTTGAAAATTGGCTTCCAAAGTGGAAAAAAAAAAGAAGAAAGAGTGGCTGAGATCCTGACACTGTCACATCTATAGGAGAAGGCCATTCAAAAGCAAAGACTATACTTTGATCAGAAATCAGAAAAAAAACAACCAAACAAACCTGGACTGTAATTACATTTTATCTGTGCTATCGTCATTTTCCTCATTTAAAAAAACCTTTAAGGTTGAGAGCTTTGTAGCAGAGAATTTGTGGAAGGATGAAGAGAAAGATAAGCACAGTGCTAAAAGTGTAGGTTGTGAATCGATCCCAAAGTAGCTCCTGAACCAATATCAAACCTTCCTAAGAGGGAAAGAGGCTCCCTGCAGCTCTGCTCACCTGTGGGATCAGCTCTGCTCACCTGTGGGATCAGGCGGTCCAAATGCTCCGCTCTGTTCTCATGGGAAGGGTGTGTGGAAAGCCACTCCGGGATCTTGGGCTGCCCTTGGATGGTTTCTGCCAGTTCCATCTGCTGCCAGAACACGCTGCTGGCTCTGACATCCACACAGGCCTGAAAACAGAGAGCAAATGTGGACACCACGGAATTTTTAATCTAATAAACACACACTCTAATAGATACCGAATTATGAAATTTCTTCAAAAGAACCCTCAGCTGTGAATTCTAAGTTATATTTGCTACATGAAGTACAGCAGAAGAAGAAATTAATCATCTCCACAGATATAGGCAAATTTACAGGAAGACGTTTAGAGTAAAAAATAGTAAGTGATAATAATTCATCCTTAAATAGCTCTAAAAATGAGCTGCAAAGGCATTTCTGTAAGTGATTGCATGCTTTTTTTCAGGGGTGATCTGTGTAACCCATAACAGATTAAAACAGTAATTCTGCAGAATTCCTGACTCTCTCCACAGAAGTATATATTTAACCACAGAAAGTCATGGAACAGTAACTTTTAGAACAGCTTCTGTGTATCACTAACAGACTCCTTTATTTTTGCATTTAAGTGAAGGAGAAAAAAAATAACATGATTTCTTACACTGACTTCTATTTGTTAAGAAAATAAAAGACTAGAAGTTGTCAGAAGGTAAGAAAATTACTTCTTCCCCCCCACCCCGAAATACAGTAGTGGTGCTTTATTCTTTGAATTTATTTATTAAAATTATTATTTAAAAAAAGATTATCTGCACAAGCAGAGAAATGCTGTGCTTATTTCTTTCTGGTATGGCCCTAAATCTTTGGTGTCACAAAACCCTGAGCACAAACACAGCAATTATGGGTTTTTTTATAGATTGTATTACTCCCTTAAATGACTTTAAATTAAAAATGCAGTTTCAATCTCAAAATCAAAGTCAATTTTAAAACTCTTCCTTGAAGAAACATAAATAATTATTAAGAAAAGGAAGTTTTCCTTATGAAATATTAACACTAGATGGTGCTGCTCACACTGTTATCTGACACCTTGCTCTATATTGCACTTTGCTAGAAACCAAAAAGTTTGTTTAGTTTCTTTAATATCAAATTAAAATCCAGAGGGAGGTGAAAAAAAGTAACTGAAAAATAAATTCTGAGAAAAATGTTGAATAGCTTCTGGCCAAATTTTTGTCTTACTTTAGCAAAGTTACACTGTTCCTATGGCTGCATTTAGGCTAAATGTTTAAATCTTTACACACAATTAAAACCAACTTACGGTTTAGCATTCTCCTTGTTATAAATATGTGGGTTTTTCTTCTAATAGGAATAAACTACACAGAAAATACACTGTGCAGTTAATGTGCAACTTTACAAACTTCCATTTTATGACCTGCAATTAGGCAGCGTGACTTTGTCTTTCCCTAAAAACTGTTTTATTTCCCACCACTTCATAAATCTACAGGTCTTCAAAAATTCACAGCTTACCTCTGTATGAACTGTGAAACTCCCTTCAATTTAAACAGAAACTGAAAACATTGTTAACAAAACCAACCAATTCCAGTTACCTTTGCTGCAAACTGAAGTCCCACTTTATCAGCCTCAGCCTCCAGTGTTCTGCTGTAGGGTCTGTCAAACATGAACTGGAAAGAAGCACATCAGAGCTCTAGTTTTGGGTTTGAATGTGCACAAAGCTGGAGTATTGTAATTGTCTTTCTAACCTTCCCATAAGAAAAGGGGTTTATCTATCTTGTTCACATTGTACGTGATCAGTATTAATTTTCTTAATGTAATCTTTAATTCCATTCTATGTAACTCATTGATCCTGTATTTAGTGGAAATCAATTCAAATTACACTTATTTGCATGGCCACTCTCACCAGCCAGTCCCATTTTGCAGCAACTGAAGGCTCAATACCAACTTTACACTAGAATTTTCTCACTTCACTCTTTTATTGACACCAAGATTTTTGTTGTAGCAACTGTAGGTAAAAATTCCAGTGGGTCCCTAAACTTTTCTGCTGACTGCCTTTAAGCCTGGTATCATCTATTCTGCATGGCAAACAGTGCACAGTGTGGAATGCAGCCACGAGTGTTTCCATGCAGAAATCCTTATAAGTTTCAGGGGGAAAAAAAACCCACTAAAACCCAAACAACACAAACCAGTTCGAAAAGAGAAGCACCAAAGAAGGGGAGCAATCCCTTGAGTACAGAAAGGTAACTGTAACTTTTTGCTTCTTTCCAAAGTAGCAGTGATAGTTTTCCTTTACTAGGTCAAAAATAGAAGCCAACCAAAGCTGATCCTCTAAAGTTTTTCTTAAAGCCAAATACTCTGGTTGATAAGTAAGCACCTATATGAGGTCACTTTCTAAATTCTTGGTTTCCATAAAGACCTTAAATATTGCAATTATAAATATATTTTTTAAATCCTCTGATGATAAAGTCATTCCTGGAAGGGGAATACATACCTCTACTGCCTCAAAAATCCAGGTCTGCTGGTGCACATATGTTCACTAAACAGCAAAGATGCCCCTGGCTGGTCTGTCATGTATTCCTGAAGCATTTCCCAGTTAGCCAAATAAACTATTTGCTTAATTATTAAATATTTTTTAGACAAGGAAATTAAATGGGTTACATAAAAAAAGAGTCCAGAGTCATCTCACACACAGTACTTACTATCCATCTGCTACTGAAAAAATGAAATGGTTTAAAAAACCTACTGTGAATGTGCTGGAATGAAAAATTAGAACCACAAACTCTGATCTAAAATCCTTGTCTGAAATTGGACATAATAAGAGGGGTTTGAGTTTTCAAATCAGTTACCAGAGCTGTCTGTGGAATACAAATCTGTGAGGTGGACAAGGAAAGGAGTGTGGAGTACTGCAGCTGTACATATCTAGGTGCAGGACATGAGCAAAACTCAAAGCTATGCTTTGAGCTATTCCAAGAATAATTCCTAGCTTTAGTTCCCATATAAAATAACTGCTACTGTATAACAAAGCCAACATGCTTCAGTTCAGAAATACATGACTAAAGAACAACCATAGATGAACAGCATAAGGAAACTTAACAATTTATTAAGGAAAGCAAACCCACCAGCCTTTGGGGAAAAGGCAGAACTGGAGCTCAAATGCCCAAAGACCTACAAAGAATCACTAAGAACTACTTAGAGTCAATAATAAAAAATACACAATAGTCAGTAGGTCAAAAAGTTAAGCCTCTAGGACATAAGAGAAAAACAAATATACAGAGAGAAGCAAGTACTGCAATGTGGCTTAAATAACCCTTTCACAGAGTAGGAGGCTAAGGCTTTAAAAAGCAAAATATGGTTATGGAAGAAGAGGACAAGAAATATCCTGAGAAAGTTTGCAGAAAGGTTCACTTTCCTGGAAGCACAAGAGGCAAATGTCGAATGGAGAAAACAAACAGACGCTGCACTGCCGGGTGACTGAAAGAAATGAAATTTTCCATTCAGCATCTTTTTCATCTGGGGTGAAAGGTCTGCAAGTATCAATCACTTCAACATTACTGAAGATGAGTTTGATCAGCCTTTTAACCCAGCACATTGCTGTACAGCATGAGACATGTTTCTTACAGCACACCAGGACTGTGAGCTTAAACCTCAATTCCATTTGCAACCTAAAGCACAACTCCAGTCCATGATTCCCAAATATCCATGCAGTTAGCCTAGGACAGGAGAAGAGACGCTGACAGGGAGTGGAATCTTGCTGTCTGAATTATGAGCAGTCTCAGGATTGATTCACACTCGTTCTTTGCCAAATACAGCTCTTCAAAATGCTGGCCAGTGTTCATCAATGTATTGGTTTCTCAGCTACTTGTACAAAATATCCCAGCTCCTTAGAGATAATTTATGCTCAGAATCCACATATCTCCTCATTAGCATAAGAACTACCAAAACAGATTGGTTCTGTTTAATTTCATGTTTTTGAGGAACTGGGGGAAATCTCAGGAAAAGCATCAAGTCCAAGTAATCAAAGAGCTCTTTCACTTAAATTCAGATTCAAGTTTTATGATCTAAGCAAAATTTATTTTTAAAAAACACACTTTTATAAAAAATAAGTGAATCAGTAACTGCCCAAAGGCAGAGAGAAAATCAGGCTGTGGAAGAAAATTGGCACCACAGAGCCTCTGAATTTTTCTTTGTTGGAATATATGCTGGCTGAAAAGATTATTTCAGTAAGTTTTACTATAGCATGATTTAAACACTCTTAAGGAGTGTTTAGATTCTCAAATTTTTAATCTTGGAAACCATTCTTACCACTAACAATACATCTAAACAATTCCATATATTTTATTTGCTTTAGGAACAATTTAACAACCAGTAAAAGAAAAACATGGCATTTTAACATACATAACTTTAAAGGGCAAGTTGCATTTCTAAAAGATAATCATCTGCCTTAATTGGCAGCTGGTACCTGGAGCCTGTGCAGCTCAACCAAGTCATGTAGGGAGATCTAAAGTTCTTCATGATGACAAATGAAAATCAGTACCAACTACAGCAGAATCAGATTTTTAAAAATGTATTTCCTTCAATAACATACTCAAATATTAATTTTTGCTTATATTTCTCCTCTTGCCTTTTCCCCCAAACATACTATTTACTGTAGTGAAAGATTCAAAATCATTGTTAAAATTAGGATTAAAAATGTCTTTCCGAGGAAGTCAGGGAGGATAATACAAAATGCCAATCTTACCTCCTGCAACTTGCTCTGAATCCACTGGCCAACAACTGCCAAACTATCCCGAGGACAGATGGCCCAAATCATGGTGAGAAAGATGAGGGAGAGAAAATCCAGGATGTGCACCAGGCTGGCTTTCTCTGCCTGCAAACAGAGATTGTCTCTTTTTTATTCCTTACAGTCTGACATTTCTTTAAAACACAACAGAATTTGGAAACACTTTAAAAAATCACAGATTTGTTTTTTTTCTATGCAGCCACAGGAACAGGGCACAAGATTCCCTGCTTGAACAAATAAAAAAATCCAGTTGGATACAAGGTACTTTCAGTCTGGAATCCACAGCAGCTGTGGAATACAGCTGGAGCAAACACATCTGGCCATCACCCTATTTGAGAGACACAAAGCTGGAGGTAAGATGGGGATGACATACAGAGAGTTCTTCAGTAAAAAGGCCAAGAAACACCTCAGTTGGAATGAAAAAACTATAAAGGGACCTCAAAGACTGTTCTTTACATTAATTTGAGAAGAGACAGACATCACTGAGACAGGATCCCTAATGGGAATAGGGGACAGTAGACATAATGTATTTATCTTTTGTTTTCTGCTGCACTGCTTTCATTTCAGAATCTGAGAGATCCTGAAGAAATAAACTGAAATTATTCTGTTTTCCAGAGCTCTATTTGACATGGAACAAATTGATCTGAGCACTTACAAGTGGGATCATGCAATAGTTCTCTTTATGCCAGCTGGGTGACGCAGGTTCCACATAAACAAGGTAAGTTCTTTTTATTATGAGAAATGCATTTTTTAGAAGTTCAAAGGGGCAGTTGGCTCAACTGAGCCCAAGAAACAACATTGTGAACTGTTGCTCACCCAAAATCACAAGAATCAGGCTCCAGGCATTCCAGAGTTTGACATTCTAAACCAGTGTGTAACTATAATAAAAACACTATGGGTTTTAGGATAATTTTTTAAGTATATCCACTTCTGTAGGTATTAACAAGTATAGGAGTAACAAAGTGAGTTGCTGAGTACCTCCAGTTCTTTATATCTGAGCTATGAGAGAGGCATTTGCAGACCAAGTTCTATATGACTGTTAAAAGTGAGCCATAATCCACCTGTGCAGCTGTGAAAAAAAACACTGGCAGACTTTGTGCTAACAGGGACCAGTGGAGGCCTTCTGACAGTTATTAAGTATTATACCAATAATAAGGATCTACTGTAGCGGCCCAGACATTTCAAATTCCATTTTTCATTAATTAGAGTCACATTGAAAACTTGGTTGGTATAATATGATCAAAATTAAAGTAATTAGAATAATTTAAGAATATCAGACAACTTTCTTTAAAAACTTACTGCATGTTCCAGCACAGCATGAGCTATTTCATGTCCCAAAATAAATGACAGCTGATGAATATCTGAAACTGCATCGAGCAATCCAGTGAAAACAAACACTTGACCATTCTGTAAACAAAAAATGAATAAAAATTAAATGGAAGACACATAAATAAAATGCTGTTTCAATATTATTAATAATGTTTGCATTGTGTTCAACTTACTGGAAGCACAAAAGCATTTACACCTGGTTCATCCACCACGTGAATCACCCACTTGAGTGCTGAGACCTCTGGGATGTCCTTATTGCTTTCAGACAAATGCCCAACAACTCTCTCCACAACCTGGTATCTTGCATCTGTCTCAGGCAACATTTGATTTTTGAACTCCTCCATCCACTGAAAAAAAAAATTCACTGACTGCCATGCAGAACAAACACACGGTGAATGACTAATTAGTAAACTAATTTAGTGGCTACACACAACTTAGATAAAACTAAGTTTCAATACATTTTTCTTTCATATAGCCAACGTCAATACCTTAGAGTTCAGGCTTTGAGACCCACAAGCAAAAGAATAATAAACTTAAAAGAAAGTAAACTGATCGCAGATCAAAAATAAGATAGTATAAACTTGGTGCTACAGCCTCCTGTATCTGGCATTTTCCTAAACACAGTTAAGCTTGGCATCACAATTCAGAGAACCTTGGTATCCCCTCTTGAATTTCCATCTGAATTTGTAATTTTTGCCTATCTGAATATTCCTGTTGTAATTTGTAAGGTGGGCAAATTTATACAAAATATGTATTTTGAAAATATCCTTGTACTTGTTCTGTTCTTAACTCATATCTGAGAGAAAGGACTATAGTGACATTTGGATATGGTTTATCAAGTTTCACTGACTTTAGAACAAGAAGACACAGAACTCAAAGCTACAGAAACTAGTTCTGGACAGTTTAAATAGGCAGTTTAAAAGAAGCCAATTAAAGAATAACAAGCTAATCAAATACACACACAAAAAAAAGAACAGAATGCAGGTAGAGAGTACTACCCTACAAAGTGACAGCTTCAAAGAGAGGACAAGTGCCAAAGAATGCTGCAATCAGCTCAGAAACTGGGAGAAATCTCAGCATACACCTGTTCTTCTAAGATCCTACCAGATTTCCATATTTCTTTTACGAAATTCTCTTCAATCACAGTAACACAGAAATGTTTGTTACATGCATGTCATGTGGCTTTAATGTGCCCCTGATGGAAAGGGAACTCTTAAAAAGGATGGGAACAAGAGGAGAAGGTAACAGATGGGGGGGCTCAGCAGGGTTTTGAGTGTGAACTTCAAGACTTATCAAGGACACCACAAGGTTTGTTTGCCCATCTCGCTAATAGGGTTATCTCATCACCTAAAAAAAAAAAGCATTAACAGTTCTAGAGTATTTTAATTTTTTTTCTTTAAAATCTTACCATTTCATATTCCATCTGTGACAGTTCCCTAAAATGCTCCTTCCCAAACACCAGCAGTCGAGCACGCCCAGTGATGGGTGTCTCCTCCAAGTGAGTAAAATAAAACATGATAAATACAAGTCCTAAGCTACTGACACCCAGGAGGATCTTCCATTTATTTTTTCTTGCACTTTCTTTAAACAGTTCCCGTTTATTAGGAGGAAGTGCCTTCCACCAATTTCTTATGCTCCTGTAAGATACAAATAGTGTTAACTTAGGACATAGTTAAAAAGAAATTTGTTAGTGTCTGCCCTTGCTGTATTCTCTGTTATAGTTTCATCTCATGTAGCAGCTTATGGAAGGTTAAATTATAATTGGCTTCTACTCCACTCCATTTCTTCCCTCGAACATGAGAAGAAGGAATGCCCCTCAGTGTGTTGGTTCACCTTCCTCTACCATATGTAAATGAGAAGGAAAAGAGCAAAAGATACACCCAACACCTCTGAAAATGGAAAAAACCCTTCTTGTTGAGCAAACTGTCAGTCAAACAATACCACAAACACACCTGCCATCCTCCACAAACTCACACTTTGCATGATGGGGTCTTGCACTGAGAGCGAAGTTAACAGTATTTTACCTGCCAAGAATGATGGCAAGTAATTTCTGAGCTGGCTTAACAATGATCCAGAAAAGAGGAACTGGCGCAGCCTGAAATGATGGTGATGTGCGAAGAGACCTGATGATGTGAACGTTCCAAGCAGAACAGTGATGTGGGAGTTCCCCTACGGAACAGATCTGGAGGGATGTGGTCTTCTCCCCCTGTGGCCGAGAAGACTGGACGCAAAACCTTCCTGAACTGTGGTGTGCATTCCTGTATACTCCTGTATTTGGGACATTCAAAACACACTTCAGTCCTTTACTGATGAAGTTTCTGTGGCAGACAGGGTTTCCAGTCAAAAAACAGTTTCTAGTATTTCCACTCAAATCCAGCCTTTGGCATCTGAATCTGTTGATGTGAGTTCGGCACCATCCTGTGTAAGACCTAGAGAGGTTATTGCACTTCCCCTGCTTGCTCAAAGACGCCAAATGAGAGAAAACACAGTTCCTGCCCGGCAGCTTTAGACCACAGATGATATTCATAACTTCTTTGGCTGGTTACCCTGAAACAAAGAAAAAAAGTAGCAGAGAGGCATTAAGAAACCCCCCCCCCCCTCGAACACAAAACTATGAATCATTATTTCATTGCTCCTGAACAGATACTCTGTATTTGTTTGCCAACAGCTGCATTGCACAAAACAGTCACAGTCACAAGTGCAGTTTCAAGATACCAATCCTTCAGACAGTGAAGGAAATCCCTGTCGAGTATCACTGAAAATAAAACAAGGTGTGATTTATTTTCCCCTTTCACTTTTAGTACCACCAGTCCACAGTGACTGCAGGTGTCCCTTGTGGAAGACACGTGTCACCTTTCCCTGCTGCCCTCGGGTGTCATTTCTATCTATGAGGAAAACCAGGATCTATGAGCATGTTGCTGCTACTTTGCTCCGGGCCTAGTAACAAAATGACTCAACACAGCGAAACCAAGTGTCTGCCAGCCGGGATCCTCTGACTCACGGGAGTGGACATGGGAATGCCTTGGGACGGACAAGCCCCAGCCACCCCCTCGCTCATTTTCACCCCCTGGCTCCGACCGAGGCCTTCGCTCCCTCCCTGACCCCCCGAGGGGAACCGCGACTATCGTGACATGGGCTGACGGGAGGGGGGAGGGGGGGAGAAGGAGACGCGTCACTCGGAGGCGCCCGCCGGCATAATGGCGGGCGGGGGTAGGGGGAGCTTTGGCCGGCTCTTAGCTGCACGTCCCAGGGACCGGGGAGGACCTCCTGCACCGGGCTCCCCTACTCACCACCGCAGGAGGCGGAGGAGGAGGGGGCGGATGGCGGAGACGATGTCGATACCAGGGCGGAGGGCGGGAAGCGAGACGGGCTCCGCGTCCCTTCCCTCAGGCGGGGCCGCCGCCGCTTCCTTCAGGGGCGGCCGCCATTTTGTGTGGGCGCGGGGAGCGGGGCTGCCCCTCGTGAGGCGCGGAGCCCGCTCTGCTGAGCGCCTTAACCCTGGCTTTGCCCGCGGTGTTGCGGCGTCACCTTGTTGCCAAAAATTTAGTATATCAAAATTGCCATAAATCAGGGTGTTCTTTGATGTAGGATCTTCGTCTGCTTTCGAGCCTAAATCAGCGGAACAGGCAGCAGCCAGCATCCCCTAGTTAAGGACATCCAGGAACTAACAAGCTACAAGGATGCAGTAAATCAAAGATGATGATGTATATCTAGGCACACATTGCTAACTTGGCAAAATACAGTCCATGTATCCTACAGCTGAACTGTGCTCATTGTAGTACTAAAAATCACGCCTACAGGTCAAAAAGACCCCTGCCCAGGTCAAGACCCTTCTCCTGAGCATGTGTAGAAGTTCACTGGGGTTATGTAACTTGTATGGAAATTCCTAATCAATCATAATACAGGGGCTGTGCTTGGAAAGTTAGTAACTCTGGATTTCTGCCTGTAAATAATAGTGTGAAAAGTCCAGTGGCCGTGCTTGATTCATGGAACACCACTGAGCACCCAGCCTTGTGCAGCTCTGAGATAAATAATCAGCATCTCTCTCTAGAGTGTCATTATTGGCTTGTTGCACACCTGGTTACAAATCCGATTTTGAGGGCAACAACCTCACAGCCCTGAGTCCTGACTGGTTAAGCATCCGGAGCCAGAGTGATGTACTGGGACGTATGGTAATGACAGGGCAGCCCAGGCTACACACAAGTCTTAGTGCTTTCCATGTAAACAGAGGTGCTGTGGTTGTGAAAAGTAAAGAAACACAAATCTTTGCCTTTCACAGTCATGTCCTCTCTGTGAACACAGTGAAGTATTGTTCAGTGTTTGTTGAGACTCATTAGTCCATCCCTTTTTATCTGCAGAGCCCTCTGCTGTGACAGTTCTTAAGCACTGATGTCCACTGCCTATGAAAATATGTAGTGAACAGATACTGGAGTCCAGGCCAGAAAGAAACTTCATTTAATGGTAAGTAGAAAATCTGTTTTCATCAGACACAATTCCTTTAAGATCTGCTCAGCCTCCATTGTCATAAGAGGCATGAACAGTAAAATCTGTCAGTCAATAACATGGCATTAATTTTTGTGACTGTCAGCTCCAATCACAAAACCAGCTGAGCTGTAGCAGCAGAAAAGCACTTTGTCTAACCTAAGGCTTGTGTGTGTCCCAGCTGTCAAGAAATAAAGAACTGAGATGGAAACCCTCATTAATATCCTTATTAGACTTTGTATTTGCTTGCTCTTTTTGTCTTCTTTATCTAGAATTCTCAGTTCCTAAGCCAAGCATTAGGGCTTTCTACCATTTCTTCTGTGGAGCAAATGTCATTTTTCCACCTTAGAGTCTCCACTTTATATCAAGTCTGCTGAAAACATATTGTTATGTATTATTTCTTGGCATATTTCTTTTTCCTATTACTTGTTTCTCCAACTGCATTGTTTAACTGTCTGCACAGAGGGTACAGGAGCTATTTCTGCATTCCTGACTCGCCTGAATTCCTGTTAAACACAATGGATGTTTTGAGTGTGCAAGGATGGGGATAAAAGTTGTGTTCTGCATTCTGCTTTTCTAAAGTGGCATCGCTTACAATTAAAACTTCAAAGAGACAAGCAGCAAATACAGCACAGGTAATTATAGGATATCTCTATCAAATACCAACACTAAATATATCTTAGATGAAAATCTGGTAAACAGTTGAGCAATTGGAGAGTTATAAAGTGTTTTTCTCTAAATAGACATGTTGTGAAAAAAAAACACGTTCTAACTAGTAATTTATACCGTGGCTTCTCTTGAATTTTAATGAATTTATATGCACATAACCATTTTTTTCCTGAGAAAATAAAATATTCTGTGATAAAGAGAGTAAGTTAAGATTTGTTTTGTAGCTGAGATTTTACTTACAAACCTCATCTCTCCTAGAAAAAAAGACTGTGGTTCCCATTTCTGAAGAAGACCAGAAAGCAAGTTTTCAGTCCTTAAGACTTCATAAGACCTACTTAGAGGTCATAAGTGATTTCCTAAGTACAGTTAAACAATTAACACTTTAACAGGTACAATTTTCCTGTGTAGTTGTGTCCATTAGTATTTCTTTATCTCTCTGTGTAAGTAGTTGTGCTGAACTGAATGATATTTTGTTTATATATGAAATTATTCACACAAGCAAATGTCAAACTGAATAAAAGCAATGAAAACCAGTTTAAATTAAAAATAAAGGCTATTTTTCTATATATTTGGGTATTTGGTACTGAAGTCTTCCTGCTACCAGTTTTGTTCATCACTATTAAAAGATGTCGGTTAAAATACATAGTTTTCAACTGCAAATGAAAAAACTTAATATAAAATAATAAAATATTTGAATTCTATAAAAATCCAAGGAAAAACTAAGTATTAATCGATGCCTTTGTCATTCAAGTTTCAGTGTAATTCATTTCTGCTCACAGGTACTGAGCTAAAACCTTGGCAGAAACAATGCACTCCATCATCTTCTGCAAGTCAGAAATTGGAGTTAATGCCACTTAGCCTGTTTGGCCATTTGAAATCTCAGGACCTCACCCAGGCAACACTTCTCCTAAATGCCAAGATTTTTCCAAATTCTGTTCACTAGAAGTTCCTGTCTTGATCCCCCTGTTGTATTGTGTACTAACTGTCCCTTGCCCTCCCCTTCCCCACTGAGACACCAATTCCTATTTAAAAATTGAATGGGTAATAACTATTTCTGCTTGTTATCTATGTTGTTGATGTTAAAAAAAAAAAAAAGTAGATTTAAAATCCAGAAGATGAAGTTACTGACCCAACCAGAAATTTACTGCAAAACTGTCTAAAACTTGTTATAAAATTCAGTACTAAATTTAATTTCAAAACATGTGTGAAGAGGTTGTAAATAAGGAGTGCTCTTTTCTTTGCTTGCTATTTCACAACATTTTAATGCAAGACTCAGGAGAAGCTTGGATGCTTAATAGTTGCAAAACTGGCAGAAATTCTGAGAATCTGTCACTTAATTTCTATTCTCCTCGCTTCTTATACTGCAAATAATTTGTAAACTGCTTTTAAAGCAGCTGACCTGCATAAAACATCAGTGAAATAGTAAATAACACAGAATTCTTCTACTTGCTGCCTAAAATGCCAAATGTATTTGGAGTGACAGAAAAAAAGGGAGCATGAATTAACTGTCTATACTTGAGAGATTTTGCTTGAGTCCTTCAGAATTGAGACAGTTATAAAGTATCTTATTTCCAACAACAGCAAAAGAGCACATGAAGATGGGAGGGGAAAAAGAAAACTCAACAGACCGGACTGGTTGGGTGCCACCAGTACTGTTGGGCCCATATGGAAAAACCTCAGTGGAAAATTAGCAATTCACATTTTCATAACTCAGTCTTTCATTTAGATAAAACAAACTCTCCCTAATTGTTCTGTGGTGCTTGATTGGTACTGGAGTAGGGCTGGAGTGTTATCCCTCAGGGACTAACTAGGGATCATCAGGAAAATGAGATGTGGATCTTGTCAGGCTGCCTGTTATGGATGAAATTTTAACTAGATAGGGCCTGGTATGAGGAATTTTGTTAGAACTGCTGAGTAATAATTGTAAAAGTTCGGGAAGTTGATTTTTCCTGCTTTGATAGCAATTGTAATGGCTTAAGATTAATTTTAGCATTAAAAAAAAAAAAGAGAGAGTAATTGCAGTGCTTAAAAGCCTGAGGCAAATCAGTGAAAATGCTTTGGAAAGGATAATTATACCTGCACGAGGAAGACATCTGTTTAATGGCATTAACTGGCCCAATTAAGGAGAAGTGGAGGAAGGGCCAATCTGTGATTTCTTTAACTGTTCTCTGAAAAACTGGCTTTGATATGCAAGCAATAGAAATTGGTTTGGCTTTCTCTAAGGTGATCCTCCAAGGTTTAAACATTTTAAGGACTATTGGGGGGATCTTGTCTCCAGTTGTCAGTAACATCACAGACCCCACTGTTTTACCATCAAAACAAGAGTGGCCTTGGGAGTGTTTACAAGGAAGGCATTACAATTCACATCATCAACCTAATCTGGCCATAATTCCAGTCTAAACATCCCTAAGAGATTATCTTTAAACGGGGGATGATGAGACAAGAAGAGGATTCTTTGTTGTTCCAAAACAGTGGCAGGTTTGGCTATTTTACCACTGATAAGAGCTGGAAGCTGCGGGCTGGTCAGAGTAGTGGAGGATCTGCTGCCACAAAGCTTCCCCTGGGGCTTCCCTGCTCCAACCCGGAGTAATGGGTGTGCTTTTAAATGTGGGTGTGGAGCAGACAGTTGTCAACTCACACCAGTCACAAACTAACACGGGGATTTTGTGTCAAAGAATTTGAGAATATGTATTTGGATATATAAGCAGGAATATATTTACCAGGGGGAGTAGAGAGAACAGAGTTTAAAAGGGTTTTAATCCTTATCTTTCATTTCCTTGCTGTAGTGCTGGCATTGCTTCTGGCACTGTCCTCAGATCTGGAGTGGTTAAAGAAGTTTGAGTTAAAAGCAAAGGCCAGAAGTCCCTTTTGTGCAGTTGCACAAGGGCAGCAGGGCTGTACAGGAAGGGCAGCACTGGCCTCCTCAGAGCTGTAGCACAGAGACAGGATTTTTTTTCTCTACCTATGTTTAATTTGAGCTTTTCAAGCCAGCCCTTCAGCAGTTGGAATTGCAGAACATAATTTAGGCAACAGCCAGCTCTAGCATGGTTACAGCAAGCATATCCTCCATTAAATAACCCAGGGAGGTAATAGCACAAGGGCACCCTCTCCTACCACCCACAGAACCCACTGCAAAGGGAACAGAGCCTGATCACTTAAATACAGTGAGAAAACATGCAATTAGAACATGATGATGATGTAATCAGGAAAAGGAGAACTAGAAATTTCAGAGTTAAAAATCTCTACATTTGAATAATAAAAAACTTTTTGATTTTTCAAATTGAAAGCTGCCAAGGGGTTCATTGTCTCCTTTCCAATGAGAACTTCAAGAGAGGTCAGAAATTCAAACAGGCTGAACATGATGGACTGTTTACAGTAAAATACAACATCTACCATGAGTAAAAGAGATGTCACATGGGAGGTGGCATGACAAGGAGGAGAGAAGTGAGTGCTCAGCAGGAGCAGTGGATCTGTTTGGTTTATTCAAGTCCAGATCCTACAGTAGCTTTACAAAGCCTTAGTCAAGAGAATGATCTAGTCCAAGGAGAGGTTCTCCGAGCTCAGTGCTGCAATTAATCTTCCCATTCTATGATTAATTGCAGACACCTTCTCCCTCCTATTAAATGACCCTGGTGCATTGCCAGTCCCTGAGCAGCAGGCTCAGGACTAGCAAGGAAATACCTGACCACAACACATGGCTTGCATGGGCCAGTCCTTTCATGATTAATAAAAACATGAATGGCACCACAACAGCCTCTCTTCTCAATCTCAGCTTCTAAAAAGAAAAGCAGGACCCAAAAAAAGATGCAGACACTGTTACCTGTTATGATGTTTTCAACAATCAGTCACTTTTGCCTCTCCTAATGAAAATTATGCCTACATGTTTATATTCTAATATAAAATCTCATCATTCACTTTTAAATTAATATTTCTTTTCTCATGACAGAAAAGAGAAAAATGCAGTGATTTTAAAAGACTGTTGAAAGCCACAGTAGATCCCCAGAAAAGACTGCACATCCCATGATCCCTGATGGAAGGACAGCTCCAGCCTCTCAAACACGTGGCTTTGATCAGCTCTGCATAAGTTAAGAAATGGTTAAGCAATGCACTCCAAAACTTTTTATTCTCATCCCACATTTCTTCAGCACTGAGGGCTGCTCAGCTCTAGATTTTTAATTTAATCTGTTTTATAAATGGCTGATTGCAAAACTTTGTGGAGTTAGGCTAAGTTCTGAATTTTCTTATGACATGGGAAAATTCAGCCTAGATCTCAAATTCTCACTTCATCTTCTATGAGTACAAGTGAATATTCCTGACTGACAACCAACCAGCTGGGATGTGTTGTCATAAGGCACCTGATAAATTATAGACCCTGCTCCAAAACTTTGTGAATGTATTAATACTGCTGCTGCAATTGCATAAAAAGCTTATTTTGGGGAAATGGGATGCATCAGCCCCATTCTGTGTATCCAAAACCCAAAGTTTTCAACAGGTAAGTGAACAAGAGTGAGAAAATTGAAAGAGTTTATGCTGAGCCAAAAAATATTACCCAACAGCATCTATAAACAAAGGCAGGAAGAGAATCAAGACCTTTCCCATTTTCCTTGATGTCCTATTCATTCAGTAGAACCAGGGCTGCATATTTAATGGTTTGCCATTAAATTGTAGTAGCACATTCCCTGATTATTACTAGAATTACAAACTTGTAACACTGAAACTAATGCAGGGAAGAGAAGAACAGACCCAGCTGCAGTGTCTGGGTGGAGTGGGCACAGAAGCAGGTTGGAGGGATGGGATTTAGACATCCATACCCAGCACAGAGAATGGAACTGCCAATGTATCAACACTTAACAATCAACATTATTTTCTTTAAGAAGTCTTTCCTCATGGATATGACCTCCTGAATGAGGAATGCAGCAGATGAGTAGGTAGCAAAGGGGTCCGGTTGTAGTGCCTTGGCCAAGTTCCAACTTCAGTAATTACTCTCTGCTCTTAAATTCCCCCCACAGCTCTGTTGGAATAAAGCTCTTTTTCAGTTTGTCCTGGAGCATTGTGTAGTGTTTCTGTGAAGCTGTACAACACTGAAAAATATCTCCTCCCATTAAAATTGCCCAGGGAATTTAGGTAGACAGAAAGCTATTACCAGAGCTGGAATGTGGGCAGAACACCAAGGTTAACTTACACTTGCATTGGGATCAAGGGATCTTTGCTGACTAGGAGTGTCAGACCCTTATTAAAGAGCACAAGTGGGAATAGCTCACTGTGCTGCCTGAATACAAACTCGGGAACTTGGGATCTCCGCTCTTGGAAGCAACACAACACCTGGGATGTTTCCTAACAAATGACTCTGTATAAAAGCCTCTGGTGCTGTGGAGTGTCTTATCACAACCTTATTTGGTTATTTAGTAATATTTATGAAATTATTTGTTGATTAAAAAAGTTCCAGAAACTTAAAGAAAACTACCAACAACAAAAAGCAAAGCACATTTTAAAAGAAGTCTACCAACAGAAAAGCAGCAATATAACCCAAATATGCCGAGGCAATTATTTGAATTTCAGTAAGAACCCCACAG